CCGGCCCGCCGCTGCACCCTGACGGGCCCCGCCGTCCCTGTCACGCCCCGCCGCTGCACCTGCCGGCCCGCCGCTGCACCTGACGGCCCCCCCGCCGTCCCTGTCCCGGCCCCGTCCTGCACCCGAGCCGCCCTGCCGCCGAGCCGCCCGGGAGCCGAGCCGCCCTGCACCCGAGCCGCCCTGCCGCCGAGCCGCCCGGGAGCCGAGCCGCCCTGCACCCGAGCCGCCCTGCCGCCGAGCCGCCCGGGCGCCGAGCCGCCCTGCACCCGAGCCGCCCTGCCGCCGAGCCGCCCGGGAGCCGAGCCGCCCAGCAGCCGAGCCGCCCGAGTCGCCGAGCCGCCCTTCTGCAGAGCTTCACGACCTGCCCTGCCTGGTGAGCACAGTCCCACTGTCACTGCGAGCTCTTCCCTACTGCTTGCACTGCTTCGCTGTCGTCGTCATGGCTACCCCTAGTGTCCTAGCTTTTGACGCTGAGGGTCGCGCCATTGATTTTGAGGTCTGGTTAGACGACCTGCAGCTGTTCTTACAGTGCGACAGGGCTGACGACCTTTCTCTCTTTGACCTCACCTCTGGCGCCTCTCCTGCTCCTGCTGCTGATGCTGATCCCGCTGTCCGCTCTAAGTGGGCCACCCGCGATGCTGCTGCACGTCTTGCTGTGCGTCGCCACCTCCCTACCTCTGAGCGTGCGCACTTTAGTCAGTACAAGAGTGCTCAGACCTTGTACGACGCTGTAGTTGCGCGCTACTCCTCCCCTGCCACTGCTGCACTGAGCCGTCTCATGCTTCCCTACCTCTTTCCTGACCTCTCTGCCTTTCCCACTGTCGCTGACCTCATTACGCACCTCCGCACTAGTGACACTCGCTACCGCGCCGCCCTTCCTGCTGAGTTCTGCGCTAAGAACCCCCCCCCCATGTACATCGCTCTCTACTACGTAGTCGCGCGCCTCCCTGACTCCCTTCGCGTCGTCAGGGACCACTTTCTCGCAGTCTGTCCCACCACCCTCACCGTCGACCTCCTCGAGAAGGCCCTCCTCGCAGCGGAGAAGAGCATAGTCGCTGTAGGTGCTTCTCGTGGTGACCCTCGCACCCCCATCTTTGAGGGGTGCTCTCCTTCCCCCTTGCTGCCCTCTGTTGCCTCTGCTGCTGCTGCCGACCTGCTTGGTCTTGAGTCGGTCGGCGCGGCGTCTGCCCCTAGTGGGAGACGTCGCTCCAGCAAGGGCAAGGGGGGCAAGGGCGCGGGTGGAGCTGGAGGGGGCGGTGGCGGTGGCGGCGGTGGCGGCGGAGGGAGTGGGGGTGGCGGCGGGACTAGTGGCGGGGTGGTGGTGGTGGTGGCAGCAGCGGCGGAGACGGTGGTGGTGGTGCCAGCGGTGGTGGTGGAGGCAGCGGCGGTGGTGGAGGCGGCGGAGGTGGAGGCGGTGGAGGCGGCAGCGGAGGAGGCGGTGGTGGTGGAGGAGGTGGAGCTGGTCGAGGTGGTACCCAGCAGCGTAGCGGCGGTGGTGGTGGCCCAGCGCTCGCAGCGGCAGCAGCAGCAGCGCTCGCGGGACATCCCTCCGCCTCAGCAGCTTCGTGAGTGGTACGCTGGGGCGTCAGAGGGGTGGGGGTACTGGTCCCTGCACCTACGTTCTTCGTTCCGGCGACCCGCACGGTGTGAGCAGTGTGGGGGTGCCCACGCCACCCAGCGCTGCTTTGGCCGCCTGACGGATGCTTGGCGTCGGCAGTTCCCTGGGCTAGTGAGATCCCTCGCTGGGATGAGCTTCTCAGGGCTGGTGTAGCGATCTTTGATCTTGATTTTGATGCTATCCTTGCTTGCTATGTATGTTGTGGATTATAGTGAGGAGAATGAGGGTTACCGCTGTTTCCAGCCCGACCCGGGCATTGGTACTGCTGCGCTAGGTGCTTGTGAGGCTTGCTGCTCTAGGTGCCAGTGCGTCAGTGCTCTCAGGTACTGGTGAGACTGCGCTCTCAGGTACTGCGTCGTCCTCGTCCTCCCTCACTTTCACGCTTGACTCCGGAGCTTCTCGCTCCTTCTTTCGAGACCGCACTACCCTTACGCCACTCGGCCGGCCGGTTGCGGTCTCCCTTGCTGACCCCTCTGGGGGTCCTGTCCTGTCTCACTTCTCCACTGTCCCTCCGTGTCCGGCTGCCCCTTCGGGCACCCTGTCGGGTCTGTACCTTCCCTCGTTCTCTACGAACTTGGTGAGTGGAGCGGACCTGCAGGATGTGGGGGTTCACCAGTTCACTCCTGCGACGTCAGCGGGTGACCCACTGCACGGAGGCACGCACAGGCCGACACCTGGCCACGTTCTCGCGTCGGCCGGGGTCGAGTCTCTACACCCTGACCGTTGAGTCTCCTCCTGTCCCTGCGTCTGGTCAGGTGGCTGCGTCGGGTCAGGTGCTTGCTGCTGCGTCCCGGTCAGGTCCTGAGTCTGCCCCCTGTTCTTGTCGCCTCCTGTCTCACGAGACTCTCCTGTGGCACCACCGTCTTGGCCACCCCTCCTTGCCCCGTCTTCGGAGCATGGCTTCCCGTGTCCTTGTCTCTGGTCTTCCCCAGTCTCTCCCTCCTCTCCCCTCCGGGCCAGGACCTTCCTGTGTCCCCTGTGTCGAGGGTCGCCTCCGGGCTACTCCTCACTCCTCCCACTTCCCCCCGACAGAGGCTCCCCTGCAGACGCTTCACATGGATGTGTGGGGCCCAGCCCCCGTCCGTGGGCAGGGTTACGAGCGCTACTTCCTGTTGGTGGTTGACGACTACTCGCGTTACACCACAGTCCTCCCCTTGCGCAGCAAGGGTGAGGTCACTGAGGTGCTGATCGACTGGATCCGCGAGGCTCGTCTCCAGCTCAGGAAGAGCTTCGGCTCGGACTTTCCTGTTCTGCGTCTGCACTCTGACAGAGGCGGAGAGTTCTCTTCTCGCCTTCTGCGGGACTACTGTCGTGCACGGGGGATCCGCCAGACCTTCACGCTTCCGGACTCACCACAGCAAAATGGGATTGCTGAGCGCCGCATTGGCATGGTCATGGATGTCGCTCGTACGTCCATGATGCATGCGGCTGCCCCCCATTTTCTGTGGCCGTTTGCGGTGAGGTACGCGGCGCATCAGCTCAACCTTCACCCCCGGGTCTCTCGGCCTGCGATGTCCCCAGCCTTGCTGTGGACGGGGAAGGTTGGCGATGCGTCTGTGTTCCGTGTCTGGGGATCTCGGGCGTTTGTCCGTGACTTGTCTGCGGACAAGCTGTCCCCTCGTGCTGCTCCCTGTGTCTTCCTTGGCTTCCCCACTGACGCCCCAGGGTGGCAGTTTTACCACCCCTCCTCTCGTCGTGTTCTGTCCTCCCAGGACGTCACGTTCGACGAGTCAGTCCCCTTCTACCGTCTCTTCCCCTACCGCACTCCTTCCCTCCCCCATCCCCCGGACTTCCTTGTGCCGGTTCCCCCCCCCGGTAGACCCCCTCCCCCCTCAGGTTCCTGCCCCCTCAGGTGTGTCCCAGGTAGACGTCGTTGACCCGGTCGAGGTTACTGGTGACTCTGGTGCTGCTGCGGGTGCTGACTCTGGGGGTGCTGTGCGCGGGGGTGCTGAGCCTGGGGGTGCTACTGCTGGGGGTGCTGGGCCTGAGGGTGCTACTGCGGAGGGTGCGGAGCCTGGGGTGCTGAGCCGGGGGGTGCTGTGCCTGGAGGTGCTGGGTCTGGGGGTGCTGAGTCGGGAGCTGCTGAGCCTGGGGGTGCTGAGCTGGGAGCTGCTGAGCCTGGGGGTGCTGCGTCTGGAGCTGCTGAGCCTGGGGTTTCTCCTGCTGCTGCGTCTCGCCGGGAGCCCCTCTCTCCACAGGAGCTGCGTGAGTGGTTCGCTCGCCGCTGGAGGCGTGCTGCTGAGTCTGGAGGTGCTGCTGGAGCTGGAGCTGGAGCTTATTCGACCGTCGAGGGTGCGGGTGCTGCCGGTCCCGGAGCTGCTGGACCTGCGGGTTCTCCTGGAGCAAGAGCTGCTGAGGGCATTGGTGCTGAGCCTACTGCTGTTGGTCCTGCTGCTGGAGGTGTGGGTGGCGCTGGTGCTGTCGCTGAGGGTGCTGGTGCTGTCCCTGCTGAGTCTGGAGCTGCCGCGCGGCCTCGGCCGTACTTCGTTCCGCTCCTGCAGCAGGTTCTTGGTCTTTCTCCTCCAGTAGAGGGTCCACCGCCTGTCCAGTCGCAGTCCCTGCTGGAGCCTTCCTCTCCACTGCCTGCTCCCTCTCCTTACACTGGTCCTACTGGAGGTCTTGCTGAGCGTCGTGAGCCTGCGTCTCGTCCCGCGTCGCCTGTTCGTGCTGCTCGCGCTAGTGGTCGCAGTTCGCGTCAGCGTCCTCCTCCTGTCCCTGGAACGCACCGGATGTCTTTGCGTCCGTCCACTGCTCCTCTGCGTGCCCCTTTGCCTTCTCCTCCTGAGTCCTCTCTTCCTGCGCTTGCCGACCCTGAGTCAGACTCTCTTCGTGCTGCCAGTCCTACTGTCACGCGTCTGCTTGCTACTGTCGTCACTGACCCCTCTTTTGAGTCCACTGCTGCGTCTGCTCTAGTCGCTGAGCTCGTCGACTTTGCTGCTCGCTGTCGTCTCGACTACGCTGCTCGTCTTGTTGCTGAGTCTGCGTCTGTCTGTCCTCCGTCCGTCGGGGGTGAGTGTGCTCTTGGCACGGACGTCCTAGAGGACAGGCAGGAGGAGTTACAGTGTCTAGCGGCTGCTTCACCTCATCTCGCGTCTGTACTGCTTGCCCCTGAGGGAGACCCGGATGCACTAGACATCCCGACTCCGCGTTCTTACGCGGAGGCCGTAGAGGGTCCCTACTCCTCTCAGTGGCAGGCAGCTATGGATGCAGAGATGGCTTCCTGGAAGTCCACAGGCACCTACGTTGACGCGGTTCCCCCTCCTGGGGCGAACATCGTCAGTGGCATGTGGATCTTCAGGGTGAAGCGGCCGCCGGGCTCTCCACCTGTCTTCAAGGCACGGTACGTTGCTCGTGGCTTCAGTCAGCGGCAGGGAGTTGACTACTTTCAGACCTTCTCTCCCACCCCGAAGATGACTACTCTTCGGGTGCTGCTGCACATAGCCGCTCAGCGCGACTACGAGCTTCACTCTCTCGACTTCAGCACTGCGTTCTTGCAGGGTAGCCTGCACGAGGAGATCTGGCTTCACCGTCCACCTGGCTTCACTGGGACTTTCCCTCCTGGCACCCAGTGGAGCCTCCGACGGCCAGTCTACGGTCTCCGCCAGGCACCACGTGAGTGGCACGACACACTGAGGACTACGCTTGCGGCTCTTGGGTTTGCCTCCTTCTACTGCTGACCCGTCGCTGTTTCTTCGCACCGACACTTCCCTGCCGCCGTTCTACATCCTCGTGTACGTCGACGACTTGGTCTTTGCCACAACAGACACTGCTGGACTTGCCTACGTGAAGTCCGAGCTGCTGAAGAGACACACGTGCACAGACCTGGGTGAACTGCGCAGCTACCTTGGCTTGCAGATCACTCGGGACAGAGCACGCCGCACCATTACCTTGACTCAGTCACACATGGTGCAGCAGGTCCTTCAGCGCTTCGGCTTCACGTACTCCTCGCCTCAGGCCACTCCTCTGCCTACTCGCCACTCACTCTCAGCTCTGCCTTCGGATGAGTCCGTAGAGTCGAGTGGTCCGTATGCAGAGCTTGTTGGCTGCCTCATGTACCTGATGACCTGCACACGACCTGACCTTGCATACCCTCTGAGCATTCTTGCTCGCTATGTTGCTCCTGGGAGACACAGACCGGAGCACATGGCTGCAGCGAAGAGGGTATTGCGCTACCTGTGCAGCACGTCGGGCATGGGGCTAGTGCTTGGAGGGCGGAGTCCAGTGGTCCTTACCGGCCACGCGGGACGCTTCTTGGGCTGACGACCAGGCTACGCAGCGGTCGTCACAGGGTTACACCTTCAGCCTTGGTTCCGGCTCTGTCTCGTGGCGGTCTACTCGCTCGTCTTCGGTCCTTGGCTCCAGTTGTGAGGCTGAGATCTACGCCGGGGGCCATGGCTGCACAGGAGCTTCGCTGGCTCACCTACCTGCTGACTGACCTTGGAGAGCCGCCTCGTTCTCCTCCAGTGCTGTACGTAGACAACAAGGCCATGCTGGCCTTGTGTCGAGAGCAGCGCTTGGAGCACAGAACGAAGCACATTGCTCTCCGCTACTTCCTTGCTCGTGAGCTGCAGCAGCGTGGTCAGTTGCGACTTGCGTACGTGGCCTCTGAGGCCAACACTGCTGATGTGTTCACCAAGGCACTCGCGCCTTGTGACCATCAGCGCTTTTGCACCCAGCTGGGTCTTGTGCCTGTCTTGCCTCACTTGCTCTCCTCTTGACTTCACTTGTACTGTGACATATATATATACCTGCTCTTGCTTGTCTAGTTTTATATATATGTCTGTACTCCTGCATGTGAACTGGCCTCTGGCCCTGCTCTTGTGCTCGGACTGTGTGGTGACTTTGTGATCCACCCTGAGCTTGCTTTGCTTTGCTTTGCTTGACTGGTCTTGTGACCCCTTGTTCACCCCCACTTTGCCTATGGGGGTGTGTCAGATTACTATAGCTGATGCATGTTTCTAGGCTATAGTGGGGTAGCACATATGGGGTACAGCTTTCTAGGGTTGTATTTGTACCCAACCCTGACTTAGTCATTTCATTCCTGTTCATTCTTTTCACAGCATGTGCAAAATTGCAAGAACAAGGGCCTAGCGTGTGCAAAATAAAAAGAACAAGGGCATAGCGTGTGCAAAATAGCAGGAACAAGGGCCTAACGTGTGCAAAATAAAAAGAACAAGGGCCCAGCGTGTGCAAAATAAAAAGAACAAGGGCCTAGCGTGTGCAAAATTGCAAGAACAAGGGCCTAGCGTGTGCAAAATTGCAAGAACAAGGGCCCAGCGAGTGCAAAATAGCAAGAGCAAGGGCCTAGCGTGTGCAAAAAATCAAGAACAAGGGCCTAGCGTTCGCGAAATAGCAAAAACAAGGGCCTAGCATGTGCAAAATAAAAAGAACAAGGGTCTAGCATGTGCACAATTGCAAGAACAAGGGCCTAGCGTGTGCAAGATAAAAAGAACAAGGGCATAGCGTGTGCAAAATAAAAAGAACAAGGGCCTAGTGTGTGCAAAATTGCAAGAACAAGGGCCTAGCGAGTGCAAAATAGCAAGAGCAAGGGCCTAGCGTGTGCAAAATTGCAAGAACAAGGACCTAGCGAGTGCAAAATAGCAAGAGCAAGGGCCTAGCATGTGCAACAAATCAAGAACAAGGGCCTAGCGTTCGCAAAAGAGTACCTAGCGTGTGCAAAATAAAAAGAACAAGGGTCTACCATGTGCAAAATTGCAAGAAGAAGGGCCTAGCGTGTGCAACATAAAAAGAACAAGGGTCTAGCATGTGCAAAATTGCAAGAACAAGGGCCTAGCGTGTGCAAGCTAAAAAGAACTAGGGCATAGAGTGTGCAAAATAGCAAGAACAAGGGCCTAGCGTGTGCAAAATAAAAAAACAATGGCCTAGCGTGTGCAAAATAAAAAAAACAAGGGCCTAGCGTGTGCAAAAATGCAAGAACAAGGGCCTAGCGTGTGCAAAATTGCAAGAACAAGGGCCTAGCGAGTGCAAAATAGCAAGAGCAAGGGCCTAGCATGTGCAAAATAAAAAGAACAAGGGTCTAGCATGTGCAAAATTGCAAGAACAAGGGCCCAGCGTGTGCAAAATAAAAAGAACAAGGGCATAGCGTTTGCAAAATAGCAAGAACAAGGGCCTAGCGTATGCAAAATAAAAAGAACAAGGGCCTAGCGTGTGCAAAATAAAGAGAACAAGGGCCTAACGTGTGCAAAATTGCAAGAACAAGGGCCTAGCATGTGCAAAATTGCAAGAACAAGGGCATAGCGAGTGCAAAATAGCAAGAGCAAGGGCCTAGCGTGTGCAAAAAATCAAGAACAAGGGCCTAGCGTTCGCGAAATATCAAGAACAAGGGCCTAGCGTGTGCCAAAAAAAAAGAACAAGGGTCTAGTATGTGCACAATTGCAAGAACAAGGGCCTAGCGTGTGCAAAATAAAAAGAACAAGGGCCTAGCGTGTGCAAAATAAAATGAACAAGGGCCTAGCGTGTGCAAAATTGCAAGAAAAAGGGCCTAGCGATTGCAAAATAGCAAGAGCAAGGGCCTAGCGTGTGCAAAAAATCAAGAACAACAGCCTAGCGTTCGCGAAATAGCAAGAACAAGGGCCTAGCGTGTGCAAAATAAAAAGAACAAGGGCATATCGTGTGCAAAATAGCAAGAACAAGGGCCTAGCGTGTGCAAAACAAAAAGAACAAGGGCATAGCGTATGCAAAATAAAAAGAACAATGGCCTAGTGTGTGCAAAATTGCAAGAACAAGGGCCTAGCGTGTACAAAATTGCAAGATCAAGGGCTTAGCGAGTGCAAAATAGCAAGAGCAAGGGCCTAGCGTGTGCAACAAATCAAGAACAAGGGCCTAGCGTTCGCAAAAGAGCAAGAACAAGTGCCTAGCGTGTGACAAATAAAAAGAACAAGGGTCTAGCATGTGCAAAATTGCAAGAAGAAGGGCCTAGAATGTGCAAAATAAAAAGAACAAGGGCCTAGCGTGTGCAAAATAAAAAGAACAAGGGCCTAGCGTGTGCAAAATAAAAAGAACAAGGGCCTAGCATGTGCACACTTGCAAGAACAAGGGCCTAGCGTGTGCAAGATAAAAAGAACTAGGGCATAGCGTGTGCAAAATAAAAAGAACAAGGGCATATCGTGTGCAAAATAGCAAGAACAAGGGCCTAGCGTGTGCAAAACAAAAAGAACAAGGGCATAGCGTATGCAAAATAAAAAGAACAATGGCCTAGTGTGTGCAAAATTGCAAGAACAAGGGCCTAGCGTGTGCAAAATTGCAAGATCAAGGGCTTAGCGAGTGCAAAATAGCAAGAGCAAGGGCCTAGCGTGTGCAACAAATCAAGAACAAGGGCCTAGCGTTCGCAAAAGAGCAAGAACAAGTGCATAGCGTGTGACAAGTAAAAAGAACAAGGGTCTAGCATGTGCAAAATTGCAAGAAGAAGGGCCTAGAATGTGCAAAATAAAAAGAACAAGGGCCTAGCGTGTGCAAAATAAAAAGAACAAGGGCCTAGCGTGTGCAAAATAAAAAGAACAAGGGCCTAGCATGTGCACACTTGCAAGAACAAGGGCCTAGCGTGTGCAAGATAAAAAGAACTAGGGCATAGCGTGTGCAAAATAAAAAGAACAAGGGCCTAGTGTGTGCAAAATTGCAAGAACAAGGGCCTAGCGAGTGCAAAATAGCAAGACCAAGGGCCTAGCGTGTGCAACAAATCAAGAACAAGGGCCTAGCGTTCACAAAAGAGCAAGAACAAGTGCCTAGCGTGTGCAAAATAAAAAGAACAAAGGCCTAGCGTGTGCAAAATAAAAAGAACAAGGGCCTAGCGTGTGCAAAATTGAAAGAACAAGGGCCTAGCGTGTGCAAAATTGCAATAACAAGGGCCTAGCGAGTGCAAAATAGCAAGAGCAAGGGCCTAGCGTGTGCAAAAAATCAAGAACAAGGGCCTAGCGTTCACAAAATAGCAAGAGCAAGGTCCTAGCGTGTGCAAAATAAAAAGAACAAGGGTCTAGCATGTGCAAAATTGCAAGAACAAGGGCCTAGCGTGTGCAAGATAAAAAGAACTAGGGCATAGCGTGTGCAAAATAGCAAGAACAAGGGCCTAGCGTGTGCAAAATAAAAAAAATCAAGGGCCTAGCGTGTGCAAAATAAAAAGAACAAGGGCCTAGCGTGTGCAAAATTGCAAGAACAAGGGCCTAGCATGTGCAAAATTGCAAGAACAAGGGCCTAGCGAGTGCAAAATAGCAATAGCAAGGGCCTAGCGTGTGCAAAATAAAAAGAACAAGGGTCTAGCATGTGCAAAATTGCAAGAACAAGGGCCCAGGGTGTGCAAAATAAAAAGAACAAGGGCATAGCCTGTGCAAAATAGATAGAACAAGGGCCTAGCGTATGCAAAATAAAAAGAACAAGGGCCTAGCGTGTGCAAAATTGCAAGAACAAGGGCGTAGCGTGTGCAAAATTGCAAGAACAAGGGCCTAGCGTGTGCAAAATAAAAAGAACAAGGGCATAGCATGTGCAAAATAGCAAGAACAAGGGCCTAGCGTGTGCAAAATAAAAAGAACAAGGGCCTAGCGTGTGCAAAATTGCAAGAACAAGGGCCTAGCGTGTGCAAAATAGATAGAACAAGGGCCTAGCGTATGCAAAATAAAAAGAACAAGGGCCTAGCGTGTGCAAAATTGCAAGAACAAGGGCGTAGCGTGTGCAAAATTGCAAGAACAAGGGCCTAGCGTGTGCAAAATTGCAAGAACAAGGGCCTAGCGAGTGCAAAATAGCAAGAACAAGGGCCTAGCGTGTGCAAAAAAATCAAGAACAAGGGCCTAGCGTTCGCGAAATAGCAAGAACAAGGGCCTAGCGTGTGCAAAAAAAAAAAAAGAAGGGTCTAGTATGTGCAAAATTGCAAGAACAAGGGCCTAGCGTGTGCAAAATAAAAAGAACAAGGGCATAGCATGTGCAAAATAGCAAGAACAAGGGCCTAGCGTGTGCAAAATAAAAAGAACAAGGGCCTAGCGTGTGCAAAATAAAATGAACAAGGGCCTAGCGTGTGCAAAATTGCAAGAACAAGGGCCTAGCGTGTGCAAAAAAAAAGAACAAGGGCCTAGCGTGTGCAAAGTTGCAAGAACAAGGGCCTAGCGTGTGCAAAATTGCAAGAACAAGGGCCTAGCGAGTGCAAAATAGCAAGAACAAGGGCTTAGCGTGTGCAAAATAAAAAGAACAAGAGTCTAGCATGTGCAAAATTGCAAGAACAAGGGCCCAGCGTGTGCAAAATAAAAAGAACAAGGGCATAGCGTGTGCAAAATAAAAAGAACAAGGGCCTAGTGTGTGCAAAATTGCAAGAACAAGGGCCTAGCGTGTGCAAAATTGCAAGAACAAGGGCCTAGCGAGTGAAAAATAGCAAGAGCAAGGGCTTAGCGTGTGCAAAATTGCAAGAACAAGGGCCTAGCGTGTGCAAAATAAAAAGAACAAGGGCCTAGCGTGTGCAAAATTGCAAGAACAAAGGCCTAGAGTGTGCAAAATTGCAAGAACAAGGGCCTAGCGTGTGCAAAATAAAAAGAACAAGGGCCTAGCGTGTGCAAAATTTCAAGAACAAGGGCCTAGCGTGTGCAAAATAGCAAGAGCAAGGGCCCAGCGTGTGCAAAAAATCAAGAACAAGGGCCTAGCGTTCGCGAAATAGCAAGAATAAGGGCCTAGCATGTGCAAAATTGCAGGAACAAAGGTCTAGCGTGTGCAAAATTGCAAG